CACTCCACGTGTACGGGACAGCGTTAAGGCCTGATGCAAAGGCCGTCGTCCTGGGGTTAAACGCTGTGGCTGTCCGACCGGCTATCTCATGACCTAGATTGTCTTGTCTTGGCCTCCCGCGGGGCTCGACGCCGTAGCGGTCCCACCAAGTATCTCTTCTCCAGGCCTCCCGGGGCTCGACGTCGTAGCGGACCAACCGGATATCTGACGATTGACATTGTCACCTCCAGTGGTGCGGGGGCTCGAAGTGGGCAAACATCAAAGTAGTCTAACCGGCTATTTCATGACCATGAGAGGGCAGGGCAAGACGTCCGAGGGTGACCACTGGAGCGGTTCACCGGGCACGACATGACGGAAAGTGACTTTATCAAGCCTACCGGGGGTTCCACGAGAGGCTTTCAGGGCTTCTCATAACCGTGACAATCCGGGGCCGCAAAAAACATCCCGCCATCCGCATCAACGGAAGACGCGCCGAGAACCTTATTACCAAGACCGTATTCAGTCGGCCTTCCGAGATTTGCCGCAAAAGGGAACGCGTCTGGGCTGTCATAATAAAGAGTGTGCGGGGTAGTGCGGCAAGCGCCATCCTCCGGGAGACCCGAAGGCGACTCCGGCGATTGGAGCTCGAGGACTGTTGTTTCCGCGTTGCCAGCCACTAGCAAAACGCTACCAGCGCAGGCTCTTGCATTTTCCCTGTATGCAAGTTTGGGGCTGTTCGCCGCAGTCCCGTGGCACGTGTCCTGGTTGGCCGAACGGGGAACAACAGAGCCAAGTCTGGTTCCCATCATCTCCACGGGTCATGTAAGAAGCGGTTTGTGATCTGTGCCCCTTTCCGCATTTCTCTCGCGAAATTGCTGTGAGCTGTAAGAACGCTTCTCAATACAATATTCTACATCTGCGCGCTGGTGCCCCAAGCGTTCTTAAGGTTCATATGTGCAAGGATCAAGGAATCGTTGAGCGGCATAATCGGCTGATTCTAAGCATGCACTATGCCTTTCGTACTCCTCTGTGTCTTCAGACCAAGTGAAGATTGGTTTAAGGTTGGTGCTTCTTTGTGGAGAATGCCGGTACCGGAGTTTAGCAAGGATGTCGGCTTGAATCGTCGATGCAACCCGAGCCATCTCGTCCAGATCCCTAAACGATCGCCCTCTAAGATGTGGGTGGTTTCGTGAGTGACCCTGACAGATAGCTCGTGCTACTTTTTCTGCATATGGGGTCGCCACGTTAGCAAGGTCATACAGCCCCTAAAAGGCCTTTTTGAACTCTATATGCGACTCCTCCTGGTGTACGGGCACGAAGCTTGTCCAGTATCCGGATTTTGTAATCGGGTGGCAAAACGTCCGCTCTGAATCGCGACGAAAGATCCACTCTACTCAAGACACTTCTTTGTCTCTTTCTATGGAGTGCTGCGCTATCAGTCAATGCGACCGGCAAAAGGCGAGTGAGCACGGTTTCATTGTCGATTCCACACGCTGCTGGATAGTCCCGCAGTTTCGAGCCGAAAATCGCCACTGACTTCCTATCTGCGTATTCCGAAAACACCGGAACGCTGAGCAAGAGCCACGGGTAGTCCTTAGGGTGCGGGGTTCTAGCAGCTGCGGGGCTAAAGCGCGTCATCGGGTCCCGTTGGAACTGAAGAAGCATGGACATGGCCATCATTAATTTCGCTAGATCCTCCTTTAATGATGCGCCTGCTGGGACTGAGACTAAAGGCTTAGCTTCTGGTTTTTGGTCGCTGGTGGTGTTATCCGCGATTGCTCCGAGTGTCAAATTGTCATCACCACTCACGTTTTCGGCGGCGCTGTCCGTAGACGACATTATGTAGTAGATGGAGGTTCTAAACCCTGCTGGAAATGGCTGGCCTGTTCCAATTGAAATGCATAGCCAAAGCCTATGAGCATGAATGTGCAATTGGCGCCGATGAGAAAATCCGATGTTTTGCACATCGGTGCGACTGGAAATGCTGCAGAGAAGCCGCAGCACGGGGGAAGGCCAAAGATTTCGGTTGAGGGAAAGTCAACTTTAGGGGGCAAGCGCCATGATGCCAATTGTGTCAATGTGCACGACACTCAGTTTGCTCATTGCCGCTCATTGCAGCCAGTGGCGCTATGTGGCAGAACCATTGTACGGGAGATAGCAAAGAGCCATGCACTGCAGAGAAGTGAACTCGGTGCAGTATGGCAGTGACAATGCTCAATCGCCAAATTAGCACACCCTTGCAAAAATTTTCTATGGGACCGATAGAGATTTTTATGCGATCAATAGGATTTCATCGTACCGATGGGCATTTCTACTGGGCCGATAACAAGTTATATCGTACCAATACAGACTTCTTTGTACCATTAGGAACTTCTATGGGACACGTAGAAACTTCTATGGGACAAGTAGAAACTTCTATAAGAACAACACGAATGTTTTCTGGTCCGGAATACAAGTGCCTATTGGTCCTTCAATAGGATCAATAACAAGTTGTACTGGTTAAACTGAAAGCTTCATTGGTGAAATGGAATGCATTTCGGATCGAGAACTTTTAATGGTCGACTGGGAATACAGAACATAAAATTTATTAAGTGGGCATCTATCAGGTTAAACAGTATGCTTAGTGGAGAAATTAGAGTTGTTATATACTAAAGTTTTATGTTTTGAGCACAGGAAAATAATTTTTGCCGCAAATATACCCGATGGCAGGCACGCAGCCAGGATTTTGATTCGCCCATGACGAAATACCGTATGAGGGGGAGGGGGGAAAGGAGGCCCCACCAAATGAAAGGTTTGGGAGGAGGGGGGGGGGGGTCCCATGGTTCTCCCCCCCCCCCCCCCCCCCCCCCCGTGCAGATACGTGCGTGCCCGATGGGTTCCTCTCTGTCAAGTAAACATTTTTTTTTAGCTATATAACTTGGGTTGGGCCATGTAGACACTAATTAAATAAAACATTCAGTTAATAAAGTGAATATGAACTCTTTTTTGTCACGTGTTTTAGAATTTCCTGATTACGTACTGTCCTCCTTCGTATTATAAAACATGCGGCTGCCAGTAAAACATAAAGAAAAGACTATGGGGAACGGGAACATTGTGTGTGCACATAGTATGCACAAGATTCATGAATAATTATATATAGGCAAGCCACGAAATTCAGGTATCATCGGAACTCTGCAGTTTTAGCGGTGTATTCTGTCCTTTTGTTTTCCAGGATGTAAACGATTGCACCAAATGGATTATGTATTCACATTAGACTTTGCTCCGTTTTATTCAGTTCCACCTGGTTTCGGAGTGGAACGTTCTCGTTTTTGTATAAATTTCGCTCCAGAACCGAGCAAATCAGAGTAAAACCGGATCAAAAACAGAATAACACTGACTCAAAAATCCTATTATCATCTTTCACGATTGGTCCAAAGCTCTCAGACTTCCGACGTCGGGACTTTAAAACTTTGGCGGAGTTGGCGAAAAAATGCGATACTTCAGGCTTCCGTTTTGCCATGTGAACGTATCCTGTTTGAGCCCTAGCAGAGGCTACGCGCTCGTTCTGGGGCGGCAGATCACGTGCACATTCTATCGTGGGCATGCTTTTTATTAACAGAAAAGAAAAGCCGGTAGTGCCGAATAACATCCAATAATTATTAACACCATAGAAGTCATTAAAAAAAAAGCACATAAAATGCGCGCACACACACACACACACACGAAATAAGGATGACCTTCCCGAAATTATGATTGCACCTTGTTTCACGCACAGTAAGTGTCAGGCAGCGCTTTCCACTTTGTAGTTGAGCAAGGAAGTTCCTTTTTGAAAGGCATTTTACGCGCTTGTTGGCAGTTTGGGCCTTTAGTTTGGCTTCTGGCTTCCCAATGTTGTAGTTTTCCTTGATGCCGGGAAGAGTGTACACTCCAGCAATCAAGTTTTCGAGATTCAAAAGCCCTTCATTTTGCGTCCAATTAAAATGAAGGCCAGCCAAAACAGGGTACGTCAGACTCGTTACATTCGTCTTTGGCAGGAGCCTTTTCGGAAACTTGGACAGGAAATTGGTCTTCAAATCTCCCGTCCCTTTCACAATTTTATCACTTGTGTCTTCACTAACTGGCCCAGTACTGTGACCGCTTCTGGTTTCATTGGTGCTACTTAGTTCACGAGGAGTTTTTGTCTCACCGTGTTCCGAGACAACCGAGCTTACAGAAACTGCTGTCGGCGACGTCGGTTCTGGTCCCTGGCCTGTTGTAGCATTTTTCAGGACACAACTTCGTCTCACGACTGTTGCAACTGTTGTCCTTGGCAAGCTGGGTATACTTAGTGGCTTAGTCGCACAGCGCGACACCCTACGAGTCTCAAATCCAAATTTTGAAATTCGCACCGACGTCGTCCCGCAGCAAATGCAATTTTTTAATTAAAATGACAAATAAAAATTACTCCGTTATAAGTTTAATATATATTCAGTATTTACATTTGACAATTAAGTAATACCATAATTTTTAGAAACGTTTATTATTTTCTTAAGTGCATCAGTCACACTTGCGGGCTTGCGGGTTACACCACGTGACAATATAGAGTGAGCTGGAGTCAATAGAGTGAACAGTGGGGTCACCCGCATGCATAGCCCGCATGACATATAAAACCAAAATAAGTTTTCAAAGTGCAATTTATGCAAATTTTTTGCTAAATTAAGGTCATTAAGTAAATTTTTTAAGTATTCATTTACTTCAGCAAACAAAAACAAGAGTTAAAATACGAAGTATTATAGTCACGTGATACATCCCCTGCGTCAGGAAGTGGCCGGACGTGATAAACCGAACGGTCCGGCCGGAGGACAAGGAAGTGCAAGGAAGCGTGGAAGAAGAACCGAAGCTGCCGAAGCAACGTTCGCGGGAAGTCTAACCGCTTGAAGCACGTTGCAGAGTCGAGACCAGTTGAGCGGCCGGAATTTTACGAACGATTATGCAAGCGTACGTCTTGAGGACGACCATGAGCCACATATCATCTCAAATTTCTGCCCGTCAAGCCTTGTGACGAAACGGAATCGGACTTCTTCAAGGCGCGGATCCTAAAGTTGTTTGGTAAGTTCTAGGGGGCTATGTTGCGCTTTTTGCACTCCCAGGAGACTAGGGAGAGGGAAGTGACGTCAACGACACAGCAAACGCAGATTGGGTGTTGATTTCGTTTTCTTCTGTCAACATCCAATCTGCATTTGCTGTGTCGTTGACGTCACTTCCCTCTTCCAAGTCTCCTGGGAGTGCAAAAAGCGCAACATAGCACCCCTAGTCTCCACACGCGTTGTGCCCAGTCTAGTGACCATCTCCTTTAAGTTAAAAATTGCAGCTTTAAGCACAATATGTGGGAGTAACTCTCGGCGCCGGTTGTTTCAGGATCGCAGAGTGACGCGGAAACCCAGTGACAGTAAGCGGGTGCTAGTACCTCCGACGAGATGAGGGACTGCCCGGGAGGGCTGGAGGAAGCTTGTATGAGACAGGTAATTGTAATTTCATTTTCGCGCTTGCGAAGCAATTCATAAGACGTATTTTAAATTTGAGATTTTCTTTAGTTATGCCGCCACAAGGACAAGGAATTTCATTGATAGGGGAGGGGTGCCGTGTGTTTGTTTTCATATGCCCAGAAACTAGGTAAAGGTTATGTGTTTTAACCATTTCGTCGTTTACCCTAAGACTGGGTTTTTTTTTGAAGAGCACAAGTAACAGAAAAAACAGACAGAAGACCTGTCTGTTTTTTCTGTTACTTCTGCTCTTCAAAAAAAAACCCCAGTCTCAGGGTAAACGACGAAATGGTTGACTTCCACCAGCTAGCCTGTACTTTGACTCTTTTCTCGTTAATGTGTTTTAACATTTTTTCTGTGCTGATAGGCTTAAGGTTAGAATGAATTATATCTGTCAAGGCGTGGCGCAGTCTGTGTCTATTTGGAGAAGAGGTATGTGCGTGCGTGTGTGCGTGCGTGCGTGTTCGTTTGTTTGTTAGTTCGTTGGGGGAGAGAGAGGAGATGAAGAAGAGGAGGAGGGTGAGGGATCACGTCGAATCATTCAAATCGTTAACTCTGACAGTAATGAGGTAAGAAGGATACCTGCTAGTTACACCGGTTCGGTTTTGTGCCAAACTCAAATTGCGTTTTGCCGCGTAAATATTGCTACAATTTTTTTTTTTTCATCAACAAAATTAATTTTGAGGCATGCCGTTGACAAATAGGACCCCTGTTTTCAATCCCAGTCCAGGTTATTCGCGACTCCAGCGAACTATAGATGGCGCGCTGCTCAGGCAAAATTCGGACGAAAGAAGGTCGTTTTCGTTGTTCAGCATGCGGACCATCACAAATTCCTGCACTGCAGCGTAAAATCGGTGTTACATTTGAATGCAAAGCGATTTTTCGACCCTAGAAACGTTCGTCTACTCAGTGCGTAGGAAGGACCCGGTGGAATCAATAAAATAATTACTGGAAACAATGTTTGTTTTTATGCTGCCTACGAGAACCAAGCAGCGATAGCAGACGACAGAGTCGGGACAACCTCCTCTCCTAAGCTTCTCGGCGCTGCCGCTACGCGGCGTCGATTTCGCTGGAGTTGCGAATATTGCGCTGGTAAATTTCCTGTACATAGTGCTGCCTCAAAGATGAACTGAAGTTTATGTCTTCTATGTGTGCATTGGCAATGGCATGTGGCTCAACAAGACTTCACACACGAAAGTTCTCAAATAGAAGAGGGAATCAATGTTCATCCGGTAAGGTTTGGTAATTATCTCCGCCACAGATGGCCTCCTTGGCGAATTGTAACCGGCAGACCTTCAAACCGCACAAAGGCTAAGCGAAGCCACAACTGGATGCAGCAAGACTAAAAGCTTTATAATATACTGTAAGGACTATGGCTTTATAATAAGCCTTCTATAGCAAAACATACTGATCTGAAAAGCGTTGTTTGTGGTTATTTTAAAGTGGTATACGGAAACTTCGTCGTATTGTATTAATTCTGGTTCACTGCACAGTTAAAAGGTTTGTCTTCGTTTGCTGCCAGAGAAATATAGCTTGCGATGAACTAAATCAAAGTTATGACTGCTGGTGTCATGTACATATTCAGAACTTTTTTTTATTAAAATAATTGTAGTCAAGTGTTTTTATGGGTTTTAGCACTGTGATTAAGATACGTCAATGTGTTTTCTAAGAAAGACTACTAATTTGCAGTTTGTATCTTCTCCTAAAATATTTTGTAGATCTGAGCATGCATGCTCAGATCTACAAAATATTTCATACCTGAATATGTGCCAGGCATTCCCCTCTATGTGTATAATTGTTTACTAGGCCTGTAAGCTTCCCCACTACATCATTGCCGCTATGTTAGCGCTTCTCAGCTATTATTCGAGAGAGATAAGTGTTTCTCATGATCAATTAGGTTGAGATTGTTTAGCGTTAATGTTTTTGAGTCCCCCATTTTTAATTCCTGACAGAGCGCTTCAATGTCCGTTTATTTTTGGTTTGCCGCTTTTTATCACCACAAGCAAAAACATCACGCCACTGGAATTAACCTGAAGCTCACCTCATGATTAACGACGCTGCCGTCCACTGTCTTAAGGTGGGCCTACGTTCATGGGTACTTGTCTAGTGGTTCTGGAGTTGATGTTGCTGAGATAACCGAGACGCCGATTTCTACGATGGCCTCTGTCAGCATCATGGTCAATTACAGCTGGCCCGAGCGCGAACCAGGCCAATCAACGTGCTGGCCCGAGCCCGGCCCGGGCCCACAGTCAAAAGTCCGAGCCCATCCCAGGCCTGGGCTTTCGGGTAAGCCCAATCGCCATATTGAGATAAAGACGTCAAAATTCCTCAGTTTAAATGTCGGAAGTGCCTCAATAAGAGCAGGTATAAATATTAGTAGCAAATTTAATGATAAAAAAACTGCGCCGACTTTACTCAACAAGATTAACAATTTAATCAAGCGTTTCGTCTCCCATGCGGGGAACATCATCAGTGAAACCTTCAAGCAGGAATGAGCGAAAAAACTTCAACAATCTTATTTAAGCAAGTCCGCATAAACATCGGGGGAGGGGGCCGCGGTTGGAGTTGCAAGCTGATGAGTCACTTCAGATGAACCATGATTCCACCAACCTTCGTGGACCCCACCTTTGTTCACATGCCAGAGTGGACGCATTCTCAAAGTCGAAACTGTGACCCGTATTCCAACAATGGTCTACGAGTTCCGTCTTCGCTGTGTTTGTTTAGGCGAGTGCAGCGCTTCCAGCCTGTCTCCCCAGTGTAGGATGTGTCACAGTCTAGACAGTTCACTTTATACACAACACCGCACTGGGACTCTGGGGGGGGGGGGGGGGGGTGTAATCTTTAGGTTTAGAAATGAAGTCACATAGTTTATGGTGGGGTTTGAAAGCTGCGCGGATGTTCAAAGGGGCGAGGGCCCTGCGAATGGACTCAAAAGCACCTCTCAAATAGGGTATTGTTGCTTGCCCTGTCCTAAGTTGTCCATTATCCTGACTTCTTTGTCCCATCTGTTTGTGCGTGTTATCAATAAAACGTTTCGGATAATTCCGCTTCATCAGCAGGTCAACAATAACAGCATCCTCAGAAGCGCGCAAGCCGCCTCGGTAGCTCCGAGGCGAGAGCGCTGGCCTACGGATCCCCATGCAGACTTGTACGTAATCCATTACAAGTAACGAAATTACTTGTAATCCATTACTTTTATCAGTAACTTTGTAACGGAATAATTACATATTTTCTAGAGTAATTCTTAAGTAATTCCCTTACATTTTTGACGTAACGGATTCCTTGTAATCCGTTACATTTTTTTGTCAAAACCAACCCCCCCCCCCCCCCCCCGCCCCCATTTTAAATAAAGTTTTTTTTTCTTTTTTTTCATTTATGTAAAGTCGAGTGCAGTGACACTGTCACGCGAATCGACCAGCGCAAAGGGAGGCTTGGCATTCTTCAGTTCCGCAAAGCCTTTCTTTGCAACACCAAGCCCCTGAATCTATCTTTTTTTTAGACCCCAACATCAATGTCAAAAAATCCAAATGAACAATTCACGGAAAAAAAAAGGGGGGGGGGGGGGGCAAGTTGTTTCCGTTTTTTTTTAGTCCCTTTGTTTTTTCTTTGCGATCGAAGACGGGGAGAGGTGGACACCAAGTGACTGTGCGCCTCCTCGAGAAGCTCGAGGCGGTAAGTGCACTGAAAAGAATTAACAATGTCCTTCTCGGTTATAGTGACTCCGACCATTTTCATAATGTCACAACAAGAGACAACGCTCCGTCTACCCTACCCTTTTTGTGAGTCAGCTTTTTGCGAGCATTTAGAAAATGGTAATAGTCTTTCTTTCTTCTTCCTGTACTTACCCCAGCAGGACGCATCTTATCTCTAGTTTTTTACAAATAAAACATAATGGTAGCTGACGTAGGCTTGATATTCTGGGCTTGAGGAGAGAGTGAAATTCGTGAGTGGACCATAGTGCGGCTAACTTAGTGCTCTACATTTTGCCGCCCGTGTCATCAGTGGACCTCTATCTGGAGAACACCGGAGCAAACTGCAGTCGGTCCGTGCTCCGTGCGTTTTTGAACGGCACCAAGAAAGGTACACACGGCGAACATGCGTTTACATTTCCCTGTTTTAACCAACGTTATAATTAATTGTTGTTATGAGCGTCCTTCTTTTTCTTTTATTACTTATATTTATATACTGGAAACTTTTTTTTTTATTCACCAACGTCGCAAGTGAGCCTCGAACTGTTCAGAACCAAAACAAGAAGAAGATCGAGCCAAACCTTATTTACTATTTAATTATCACCTTACTGTTACAACTATGTTTTGCTATTGATGACTTCTACAGCTTCGCAATTTAGAGAATGGAGAATTTTAGTAGATCGGTCCAATGACTCCGATAACGATATCCGATACTTCGCCGCCGTCTTTGCGTATGCATCATATCGTTATCGGGTACCGTTATCGCTGGTATCGGAGGTATCGGAAGGACCTACTAAATCTCTCGAATAGCAGGCAACGGCTGCAACGACGAAGCTTTGCTCTACATTCCAGGTAATTAGTACTTCTCTTGCTTCGCTGAAAAAGCTCACTACAGAGCATGAAGCATCCGTAAGGAACAATATGGCACTCCCATCCAGTGCCTCAGCTAAAATGGTGTTTAGCGTAGCAGTCGACATTTTGAGTAACAGATAATGCAAAATGTCTGACGAGACATTCGAGAGCCAGCTGCTGCTCAAAATACTCAAGGCCATTAAATGGAACAGGTGGCAAGAATAAGAACTTGAAAATCCTCTTCCCTTTGTTTCTTACTTGAGGACAATAATGTTAAAAGTAACGCCAGGAAAGTAACGGATTACTTTTGGGGGTAACGGTTAATTACTTTCATGGGAGGGTAATTGTAATTGTAATAAATTACAATTTAGCCTTGAGTAATTGTAAATGTAATTCCTTACTATTTTTCAGTAACGTGTACAAGTCTGTCCCCATGTGGCGGAGGCTTATTGCGGAGCAGGCGCCGTGTAACCGAGCTTTCGGTTGCACGTCAAAAGATCCCCAGGTAGTCTAAATTAATCCTCAGTCCTCCGCTGGGGCATGCCAGATGCCCGTCGTTGGTTTAGCACGTAAATTCCCCAAATTTGACTTTTTTCTCAGAAGCGCGCAATTGAGGATTAGAAGAAATGCGTTCGGACCGGTGTAGTAGGTTTTTTACGACAGCCCTTTTATGTTCGACAGAATGATGCGAGTTAAAGCTAAAGAGGTTGCCTGTATCACAGCTTTGCGGTGCACTGTTGTATATAAGTGACCGGTACTATTTCGGAACACATTAACATACAGAAAAAACTTTGCACCGTTCTGTTCAACTTCATGTGTGAATTGGATTGATGATTCAATGCTGTTTAAAGCTAAATGAAAGTCACAAAAGGGACATGGCAAAGGCCACGCATGCGACAAGAGCGAAGACGGAACTCGTAGACCATTGTTGGAATACGGGACACAGTTTCGACTTTGAGAATGCGTCCACTCTGGCCTGTGAACAAAGGTGGGGTCCAAGCAGGTTCGTAGAATCATGGTTCATCCGAAATGACTCATCAGCTTGTAACTCCAGCTGCGACCCCCTCCTCAATGTGTATGCGGACTTGCTTAAATAGGACTGTTGAAGTTTCTTTCGCTCATTCCTGCTTCAAGGTTTCACCGACGATGTTTCCCACATGGGAGACGAAACGTTTGATTAAATTGTTAATCTTGTTGAGTAAAGTCGGTGCAGTTTTTTTTATCATTATGATTCCCGGCTTTTGGAATATTTTTGCAGCACATTTAATGAAGAAATGGATGCCGATAAACACCTGCCAAGGTTGACTAAAAATAAACAGAAACATCCAATCAATAGTTATGATTGCACTAAGCGGTTGCTATGTGGATGTTTTTTATGTTCGACAGCTCAGCAAAGTCTGCGGATCTGGTTATGCTTCCTGTACGAGACAGATCACGAAGCGGTTGCTGACTGACCAGTTGGGGCGAAAATTTTTGTGGGAAGGACGTAAGAGAAAGTTGACATTCAGGAACCTTCACCTTGCTGAGTGCATCATATGTAAGTAATCTCTGGAACAGTAGTGCAGATCGCTTCACATGGAACCAGATTTATGGAATTGTTGGTGTCATACTTCTGTTGCTTTCTTTTATCAGATGCAGTGCAGAGCTGTCATAAATGTGAAGACTTCAAGGTAGAAACCATGGCCACGGATTAACTTCGCCACGCACCTGCCTGACATCAGTCATCTCAAATGGTAAGCTGGTCTTATTAAGCTGATGTTAGCACAAAAACCAAACTTTTCTAGAACAGTAAGTTTGGTGTGCAATTTCTTCAAAGCATAATTTCTATATGAGAGTATTTGAATGCTTTAAATATTAAAGCCAGTGACACCTTTTTTGGTTTAATTTGAGAACAAATACTACAGGTGTGAACAGTATTGAATAATTTTAAATAAAAAAAATTTTCTTTGGAGTGTTTCTCTAAGAGAAAAAATTTCATTATGTAATAGTACCTTATTATGGATTAAAAAGAATGCATAGACAACGAATTTTAAGAACACTGATATTTGATGTAAATCTAACAAACAAAAGTTGGCAATACAGTACACACATCCAGCATGAATGTGCTTTAAAAACAAGGCATAAAATACTTGTGATTTATTTACATCAGTTCCAATTCTTGCATATTTGAGTCACTTCACTTTGAACTTCACTGTTTTATTAGTTTTGTTTCAAAGAATGGTAAACCACTGCTCACATATCTTTAACGTAACATTTTTTCGTTGCTTTTCAGGAACATTCTGCACCACAGGAGAGAGAGATGTGAACTGCCTTAAGTGGGCCTTGAATGTGCTGAGCTTTTTATTATGTTTATCAGACATTTTTTTTTAAGCAAAGTATCCTGCATTGTTCAGTAAGTATACTTTATTTTGAAAACCTCATGCTGTCTATGCAGCATTGTTCAAAAATTATACTTTATTTTAAAAGCATCAAGCACTGCTCGTCTGTCTAACAGTAACAATAAAGAGTTAATGGCGATTTGTTTGGCACTGCAACTTTTTCTACAGAAGGGATGTGCATGCCTGACAGGCTGGGCAGGAATTTAGTGCGCTACTCACGTTCAAAGTTACGCTGCTAGACTGCAGCGGCATCTTTTGCCATGCAGTCGGTGCTACAGCTCTCATGGAATTCTGGTGTCCTCGTCACTAGAGCATATGACTACTGAAGCCTTAGACTTCAGTAGTCAATTCCTCAGGGCCGTTCGTCATAGCTTATGACAATGTTTGTGTCCAGTATTTCAGTTCTCTCGCATGTGGCGAGGTCCACCTCACTAAAACGAGTCAGCATCAGTAGTGTCGCCTTCCTTGTCAGTGTCGTCTGCATTGATCCTGTGGTAAAGCTTCCGAGCTTGATGGTGAAAAAAAAACTTCAATATAAAGAATGTCTGCTGCGGGCCTGATTGCTACATTATACATCTGTAATGCGCCATTTGGGTATACATTGAGAGCATGCACGGGCTATACAGCAAATCTGCCCTCTGAGCTCTTGTTTTGTAAAGAATTGGACTCTTATCCGTTTAAATTTTTCTGTAGGACAGTTTACACGCTATATGCTAGCATAAAATGAAGGCTGCTTAGGCACTTCCTTGCCCTCCTGGCATAGGGCTGGTCCCTATACCAGGAAAGGTAATATTTCTGAGGTAATTACATGGTACATCCACAGGATCAGGCTGAACATCCTACAATGGTCCTGAATGTCCAGCTGCATCAACCAGATTGTGTTAGTGGTAGGTTTTCTGGGGAACCATTTTGCACTGCACAGTAGATACTTTCAATGTTGGATGAATCGTAGCAGATATCCACTGGATATGTTAATTGTCCGAACAACACATCTCTCGGATGTTTAATAGACGGTTGCTGGTTGACTGGGTACCATCAAACCAATGTGCACCGGGGCACCTGTTGTCAATTACCGCTCATTGGTTTTCGCCCCCTAAACGCCATCAACCCAATGTGCACAGGGGTGCCTGTCGTCAATTGCCGCTTATTGGTTTTCGCCCCATAAATACCATCAATCCAATGTGCACAGGGGGGCCTGTTGCCAATAGCCGCTCATTCGTTTTTGCCCCATAAATACCATCAACCCAATGTGCACAGGAGCACCTGTTGCCAATTGCTGCTCATTGGTTTTTGCCCCATAAATACCCTCAATGCAATGTGCACTGGGGTACCTTTTGCCAATTGCTGCTCATTGGTTTTTGTTTCATAAATGCAATCAGCCCAATGTGAATTCCCTAAAGGATTACCAATTCAGCCCAATGTGAATTCCCTAAAGAATTACCAATTGGTGCACATAGGTTTTTGTTTCATAAATGCATATTGCTCAATGTGTCTGGACCTACAGTTGCACATTGGTTCAATGTGAATTTTGGCCTCATTTCACATCGCCCATTTCTAGCAGGGAAGGCAGCTCAATTCGCTGAAGTAGGCAAAAAAGAAAAACACAAAAAACAACGCCCCGCAGATTTGGGCGAACTAAGAAACGTAAAAATGACAATGTAAAAAGCAAAAACGAAACCAGTTCGCGGCCATCCTCCCAGTCGAGTAGCGTTTCACGTCTAACCGCAAGTGTAGGATTTTTCTTTGCCGTCTCGGAGTATAACACGACGCACTGGTTTAACAACGCGTAGTCCTTTACCCACCGTAATTGCTCGTTCCGCAATCCCAAGGGCCCTTGGCTCTTGGATCGCAAAAAGGACTTTAGGTAAAATGCCGTCGCAGCATACGCTGCGACGGCCTTTTACCTAAACCCCTCTATGTTTCAAAAGTAGCGCAAGGATCGTCGTCTTTTACGTCGTCTTTTACGTCGTCGTTTGGGTCGTCGTCCTAGCAAGCAAATAAAGCCACGCCGCGCTTACAGGAAGCGGCAGTACACATGCATTCACATCTGCGCCCAAGCTACGAAGCAATAATCAATTTGTGTTGAGCTAGTTGTTACATGGTCGATGATGGGGGTGAAACAGCTTGAACATTCAATGATTACACAGAGACGCACAGGACACACACACGAAGCTCCAATGATGGTGGGAAATCAACTTGCAGAATGAACGATTATACGGAAGCAGGATTTCAAACAATAATTAAATTTTGAACTGGCGTGCTGCAGTCGCGCTGACTTCAATGATTGCATCGTAAACTAATTATAAAATAAAGTGTTCACTTAAAACTCGCGTCGTCATATTCACAGTGAACTTCGTCGTGAGTCTTATGACGAATGCTATCGCAATTCATAGACAACCAAAAACAGTGGTTTCTGCAGCCACTTTTTAAAAACCGAAGCAAGCCTCATTTCACTTTTCTGCACCGGCGCAGGAGGTGCAAGTAAATCGAACGCACCTTTTATCTCACTCCTGGGTGAAGTTCTCGTACCCGTTGCGTGCGAAAACCTACCCGCGTCCAGCGTTGCTGCATCTGTCTTGTCACGTGACTTGATCCGCCGGAATAATTCGGCGCCATTCGAGTAAGATTCGAACGGAACCCCAGAGTGCCCATCTGCTGACCAGGGTGTAAGATAGACAGGTGGGGAAACGAGAGCCAAATGAGTGACCGCATTGTGTCCCCCTCGGCTTTCTCTTTTTCTGTGGCGCCATCTATGTGGAGCACCGCGAACTCTCACTCCGGGTGGGCGACCGATGGCGATCGGCTAAACTGACGGAGATGATTTTTTGTGGATTTTTAATGAAAGACCGTCGTGCTCTCGGTTTATTTTGCGCAGTCTCCTATACACTCCGTGCGACGCGACTGGCGCGCCGCCGCGCGGCCGGTACCGAAGGTAGGCAGTGAGCACCCCAGAGAAAACGAAACCGAAACCACGCCGCGTACGTTGGTACGCGTTGAAGCCGGAGTGGTGCTGTTGCGCTTTTTAGCGCTGGGTTCACAGCTTAATGACGCAGCCTGTGCTGCGTCATTAAGTGCTTCAATAGTTATGCGTCGTATCTCGTGGAGACAAAGTTTCACAGTTTTTCACCTCGCCGATGTTTTGTGGGATAGCGACATCGATGGAGCCGTGCCATACGACGCGAGAAATTTGATGTCCCGATCATGTCTGCCACTGTGTCGACACGGCTGACATATTCTACACTGCCGCTTTGCGCTCTGCGTTTGTTTTCGTACCAGTAACGCCTACATGTGTCAGCGCCGATGGGACGAACTGAAATGCCATCCCACACTCGCGGGTATGCAGTGCCAATTTCGTTGGAGGAATGCCCTCCAAAGAAGTTTCGTCCCCATCGTACGAGTCGATGATAATTCCGGACAAATATGGCACGTAATCTGTACTTCATGAAGAAAGATTCGAACGGTAAAAAAAGTGACAAATATAAATCTAAAGAAAACAACCATGAAACTCGGAATCACTGGAGAATCGGCGTTTGAGTATGGAAGTTTATGTGGTGTGCTTTCTTTCTTGATCAGCCTCCTTTTGGATGTGGAAACACTGACACCCCGAGTTCTGTAGACAACAATTTTTTTTCTCGGCTGTAGAGCCACCTATCGCAAAGTCGTTTGAACTGGAAGTACCGTCCACTGGTCCCTTCCTACCTGTAAAGTGTGCACCTCCCACGATGAGTGGTATTTTCTGACAGCCTTTGACGGTCAAAGCCAGTTCCCATTTAGTTACGCCGCCCAAACTAAATTTCCACCTGGTTTCGCTATGCCAACTATTTTTGTTATAATAAGTGTTGTGCCAAGTGACGGTCATGTCAAAGTACCTGTGGGCCGAAAATCAGCACCTCGCACAACAGGTTATTACACAACAGCTGACCGCAAAAGTCCTTGGCGGCCAAACCGTGTGTTGGCCGACAACTTTGTTTTCTCGGCTTTGGAACCACCTTTCGTAAAGTTGTTTCAATTGGAAGTAAAGTCCACTAGTCCCTTCCTACCTCTAAAGTCTCCACCT